ACTTTGTCGTGGTTTAATAAATTTGTAAAACAGAGTTTATTCAGTAGAGGTCAAGTTGAATGGATGGTAATTAGCCTCCAGCCTATCGCGGGGCGCAGAAGAAGAACAGGGTCAGACCTGGCAACCCTGAAGAGACGGTTAGCATGGAGGACAGCAGCTAACGGTAAGCAGGACAAAGTACTAAATATTTAGCCGACAAGAAGTGACTATGAATGATTAAAAAACCATTTTGACACAGCACCGTGCCGGAAGAACAACTGTGTGGACGGTTTAGCCTGCTAGCATCTAGCTAGCTACTTTAGCAGCGTTTAGTTAGCTTGCCGTTAGTTAGTTTAGCAGTTGAGTCGATGTCGGTCGGCGGGTCAAGAGAGGATAACGCCACATCAGAAGTGGACAACACAGCACTGCGGGACACATCCTGGACATTGTGGGTTTTTTGGCATCTATCTTTGGATTTAAAACATTTTTTAATGTGAAGGACCTCGTTAGGCAGCGGCTTCTGGATTTACAGTGGTCAGGATGCAATTGAATCGTTTTTCATCATTTTTGCAGAGACTTCAGTCAACAGCTTACAACTGTAGACACTGAAGTGTAGCGTATGTAACTGAATAATTTCAAAAGGCTAGGATTTAAAATAAAATTGAATTCATTTAAATAGGCAAGCTTGATGTCTGAAAATTTGTGGAATATAATATTTTACATGTTTAGGTATACACTTTAATTTGCATTCAATTGTGTTTATTTGCACATCTAGCAGACACAGCAACATCAGCATTAATAAGTCATTTTTCTGACCACCACACAATTCACTCTTTTACTCTAGTTCTGTTTTGGTCTCCTACAACTGTTAATAAAAAATGACTCTCTAACTGCTAAATGTTCCACAGTACTACCAGGTTGCTGCTGACTATTTCTGTTGGCAGTTTGATGGTGAGCAGGTACTGCACAGTGCGTTTTAGAGCTTTTTTGCTGGATGTTGCTGCTAAGAAACATCACTGATAAGGATGTTGAGAGTGGAGCAAAGCAGTTAAACCAGGCTGTAAAACCAGTACAGTCAGCTTACGGATGCTTAACGCTCCATTAAGCTAATTTAAGGGAGGCTGCAGAGTCGGGTGATCATTATCTGTGGGTTCATCACTACAAGCGACTCCTTTTACATCACACATCCTTTTGATCTAATGTTCAAATAAAATGTGTGCTTTGAAGAACATAATGTGAATATGAGGAACATGCAGTTACACTTTGGCAGTGGTGTAAGAAGTTGTAAGAAGTTCCTTGATCATTCAATAAAAATATATTCACTTACAGAAACAAGTCTCACAAGAGCCTTGACAATAGAAATGCCTCCATAACAATAAATGCCTCTTCGATGATGAACTAATGTGTTTTTAAGAGTAATCAAATGTATTTAAATATGGGGTAGAGGTTATGTTAATAAAATCACTATATAAAGCCTGATGGCGTTAGGTGATCGTTTGGCAAGCAAAACTTGCACAAAAGCACTAAGAACAGCCCAGATGCAGATGACCCAGTGTTACGGGGTTAATATTCCCTCCACTTAGGTTTTAAAATGCACAAAATCCCCGTCCTGGTGATCGGCACATCTGGGTGATGTGTCCTCAGTCTCAGTCAGATCCACTCCTTGCTTCTCCACAGCTCCAGCCTCTCACCCAAATATGGTCACTTCTGGCTCCAAAAACCAAGATGGTGACGGCTGTAATGCTGAACTCGAGGCTTCAAAATAGGTGTCCACAAACCAGTGGGTGACATCACAGTAGCTACGTCCATCATTTTTACAGACCATGGGCAAAATCTAGCAGCCACTTGAATATTTTACCAACATTTGGCTGGTGGCCGGTGCCAATTTCCAACCCTGGATAAACTGGTATTCATTTAGTTTTTCTCCACAAAGGAAAGATATTCAAATAATCAAGTTACTAAAAAGAGTTTCATGAACTTTTTTAAATGGTTTTCAGGATTTAATAATTATTCTGTGAACATAGACACAATGTGACTCATAAGATATATGTCGAATGTAGTACATCCTAATATGTTGACACCTCACATGAGTCACTGCAGTTATGTAATAGTTATTGTAAAGCAGAAGCCTTGACACCTGGCTTTATCTTAAATAAGCTTTTCTCTGGAAATGTCAGGGAAGTGACGATGCTGTTCAAACATAATGAGACAGAGAAATGCAGGGCAGTTGCCTATTGATAAGAGACATTTCATGTGGAGATCCATTCTTGAATGTGTGTGTGTATGAGTGGTGGGGGTAACACACTCTTAAACTTTTTTTTTTTGCATTGAGTGAAACTATCCTGTGATTTAGGGGGTGAAGGTGCCTGTTCTCATTAAAGGTGGAGAAGTACTGAATTCATTTGGGGATACTGGTGGATGGTTGAAAGGTAACTTTTAGTTTCCCCTGAACTGTTGTGGGAATATAGTTGGAGGCTTTCTTTCTTGTTTGCAGAGGTCACTGTAGTCAGTAAACTCCTCAGGGGCCCGGTGGCGGAGGTGGATGAGATTGGTTCACAAATACTTGAAATTGTCAGGCGACTGCAGTCAACACGTTGTTCGGTGTTGTGTGGCTTTTGGGATCAATGTCATGGGATTTAAGTTTTTTCTTTATATTGTAAAGGCATTTAAATGTATTTTCTTAGGTGTTTTTGGAAGGTGCAGCAGTCATTTAGGGTGCCGTCACTGCAGCAATCCACTTATAACCTGTACGCTCACAGTATTGAAGTGATTCTCCATCCACAATCTCTCCTTTGAGTACCAAACTTTTATCCATAGTACACTTCAAAGGTGACTTAAAAGGATTCTTTCACCCACAGAAAATGTTTTCTCATATACCCCTGGTGGTGTCTCGCCATGCTGATAAGGCCTCTTCTGATACTTCTTCCACCACCGCAGTGCAATGGAGCTGAATGGAATTTAATTTATGGTGCTCAGCATGGAAAATAAAATTCAAAGAACTGGGAAGCAACATTTCTTTTAAAAAACAATGTCCCATTTGCTCTGGATAATCCCCAATCCCTATTTTCAATGGTACCTTTTCTTTTGTATAAAGATACATTTGTCATAAATCCACAGACCTAGCTGTGGAAGCAAAAAGAAGGATTTGCGCTTTAAGCTGCACAAACAACTGAATGCTTCTGCTCAAAAGTTCAAATCTGAGGGGAAACTTTCAGTGTGCATCATATGAATAGACAGTGGAGAAGTGGATGAATGCTGCTGTCTCACCTCTGGCATCCATTTTAACCACTGTGAATCCAAACTGAATACAACCAGAAGCATTTTTTTTTTTTAATATATATTTTTTTGGCCATTTTTGCCTTTAATGGACAGGACAGGTAAGCGTGAAAGGGGGAGAGAGAGGGGGGATGACATGCAGCAAAGGGCTATAGGCTGGATTCAAACCCGGGCCGCTGCGGCAACAGCCTTGTAAATGGGGCGCCTGCTCTACCACTAAGCCACCGATGCCCCAACCAGCAGTAGTTTGACTGGGTGATGCATTACATTTATTTTCCCAGAGAGAAACTAGTTTTTATCGTAGGCACAAAGTTGAACATACAGCACACAATAAAAACATACAAGTCAGGTTTCCATTCAGATGAAGTTCAGATTTTCAGAAAAACTGCAGAAGAAAATATGAATTCATTCATTTCCATCCACTACTGTTCTGCGAATTTTAGGAGTTGAGCGCATTAAGGTGAATGGTTTGTGGCACTTATGCTTTCATACTTTATGTTTGGTTCATTTAAAACGCACTCAGGTCCGTTTGTGAGAAAGCTGTCAGTCAAACCCTGGTGCAGACAAACAACCGAACCGAGACTGCCGGAAAAGGTGGGTCTCAGTCTGCTTCCAAATAGACTCTGGTGCTGTTTGTTTCTGGTGTAAAAGAAAACGAACCAACCACAGGATTTTATGACAGCAGATATGTGATTTGATAACAGTTAAACCAATAATAGATTCATCTACTGATAATAAAATCTATCTGCGACGTATATCCCGTAACCTGTTTATGCTAATACTAGGGCTTTGACTCCGAACTTCGTTATTCGAATATAATTCGAATATTTACAAAAATAAAGATATTCGAACGAATATTAGGCAGCCCTTAATATTCGAACCTGATATGGGCATTATTTTTTGTAAATGTGTTTGCTTGTAAACGTTGTTTTCAATTTAGATTCCGAGGCTTTTTCATGCCTGGTGAAGTTGTGAATCGCGAGCTCATTAGCAAGGCTATTGTTGGTCATCTGGGCTCCTGTAGGTGACGTTAGCGTCCTGGTTTGCGCCTATTTTGCATACCGGAACAATGGCTGCGACAATGCCTACAACAACTACGCCTGAGGAGTTTGAAACCTACACTCCAGACCATCTGAAAAGCAACGTGTGGCGCTACTTTGGGTTCCGAAAGGAACAGGGAAAAATCACGACTAAGGACAAAGTGATTTGTAAAATATGTAGGACCAAACTCAAACACCACGCGACAACCAGCAACTTGAGAGCCCACCTGTCAACACTAATCGACTCCATGCTATCTCCTTCACGAGGCCTCCCGTATGCCCGTCAAAACAGAGCGACAGATTTGCTAACACGGTTCGTTTGCGAAGATATGAGGCCAATTAACGTGATATATGGGAGCGGGTTTCAAGCTTTCGTCCACGAACTAGAGCCAAGATTCAAGATCCCCTGCTACAGGACCATGAATGGTAAAATAACGAAGCTGTACGACACAACCAAAGGTGGCATAAGGGAAATGTTGCGTGGAGAAAAGCTCGCACTGACCACTGATGGGTGGAGTTCTTTGGCTACTGAGTCCTATGTTACAGTCACAGCCCATTTCATTGACGAGGACTGGGAGATGAGAAATGTCGTCCTGGACACGTTTGAGCTTCAAACCGCTCACACAGCAGTGAATGTCTCCACATGCATCGATAGTATTCTACGTGACTACCACGTTGAGCGGGAGTCTGTGCTTGCCATCACAACAGACAATGCGACCAACTATGTCAATGCTGTAGAGAGGTACTTGGGGATCACAGATATCCCGTGCATGGCTCACACAATTAACTTGGCAGCGAGAAAAGGGCTTGCAGAGCGTTCTGTTGCAACAACAGTTAGTCGCCTGAAGGCTGCCGCTCAGCATTTCAAGCACTCCCCTACAGACAGCTACCTCCTTGAGTCCAAGCAGAAACTCCTTGGTCTCAAACCAGTCCAGCTCATCAACGACTGCCCCACCCTCTGGAACAGTACGTACGATATGATCTGTCGGGCAGCTGATCAACAAGCCGCTGTTGCAGCGGTGATAATGGAGAAGAAACTCAGCCGTCTGGAGCTCAGCAGTGTGGAGTGGACCCTGATGGAGAAGGTCAGTAACGCTGGCTAATTATATTGGGTCTAATAATATTATGTCCCTAATGTTAACATTACCGTTTGCAAACGTAGTAGCATATAAGCCTAGTTAACGACGTTAAGCTAAGTTTGTGTTTTGTGTAACTTCAAGTGGCACATAGCCTAACTGCGCTTACTAGCTAGTAGTATAGCATGTTAGCTAACGTTAGCTATCTAACGTTAGTGGCGCTATGATAAGCTTGTTATTAATTGTGTATTTGTCCTGCAGGTGAAAGACGTGCTGAAGCCGTTCAAAGTAGCCACCCAGGCGCTGTCAACAGAAAACTACCCAACAGCATCAGCGGTCCTCCTCCTGCAGTATGTGCTTCTGACACAACTCAATCCCTCCACCAATGACCCGGCAGCACTGAAAGAGATGAAATCAATGATATCAACTGATCTGAAGGCACGATATGGCCCCGACAAAGATGCATTCTTCCTACTGAACACAGCCAGCTACCTCGACCCGCGTTTTCACCGACTGGTTCATTTGGAACAAGAGTCGCGGCAGGCAGTGCGAGATAAGGTTCAGAGGGAGCTTGCCGAGCTCAGCGAGGAGACAGGCGGAGAGGAAGGCCAAGAGGAGAACGCCACGGCTACGGAGCCACAGCAGTGCAAGGAAAAGAATGCTCTTAGCGCGATGGGGGACCTCTTTGGCGATGTGTACTGCCAAAACTCGGCAGGAGGTAATAATGATGATATTATTATCAATAATAAATAATACCGAAAAGTTTAAATTATCGAGTGCCTTTCATAACAACTCAAACTCGCTATATAGCCCTACATTGGAAATATAAAAAAGTGCATTATAAAACGTAGCCTAAACAGCACATTAACAAAAACTAATTTATTTTTTAAGTCAGACCAAATGAAGATGTGCTCCAAAGAGAAATGATGGCCTACGACAGTGAGCCCCCACCCCCGTCTGACAGCAACCCGCTGTCCTGGTGGAAGGAGAGAAGCCTCAAGTACCCCCATCTCGCCCAGCTGGCACGCGGCTACCTGGCAATATGCGGGACATCTGTGAGGGCGGAACGAGTGTTTTCCACAGCCAGGAACATAGTCACAAAGCAGTGCTCTTCTCTAGAGCCAGAAAATGTGAATCACCTTGTCTTTTTGGCGAACAACCTAAAAAAGTCTGCAGCCAGATAAACTGTAGCCAGCCAGATAGCCCATAATGGCGAGTTCTAATTTAGCCTAGGCTTACATGTTTGATTGTTGGAGATATAGCCCTGCATCTCGAAGTGTTAATCTACATGATTGATGGGGATTGGGGAGGAGAATGCATCCCGAGTGTTCAATTTACATCTCAAAGTGCCTTGTTCTTGGTAATTGCTGTCAGATCGCTAATCGCTGGTAGGATGTGCTTGTTTTGAATAGGTCTACCAAATAGGGCCTACCTTTATTTATTTTGTCTTTTCAGTACTTAGCCTGACTGGCTTATTTTTTATTTATTTTTTGATAAGAACAGTGGATAAAACCCAGGTCTGACTGTTAATAAAAATAAAAAAAAAAACAGTTGTTGAGTGTTTTTCTTCTGAAAACATCATTGCCTGCCTATTGACATTGATACATTGCCCTCTGGTGGACAAAACATATACAACTTATGTTTGATACCAATATAGGTCTTACTTAATAAATATTCGAATATATTCAAATATTAATATTAATAAACAAATGAACTTCGAATATGATTTTTGGCCAAAAGTCAAAGCCCTAGCTAATACATACATGTAACCATGGTAACACATATGTACTTAAGTGTGTTTTCCCTGATTCAAACGCTGTTCAAACTGCCAACATTGTATCTGACTCAGTGTACTCTGTCTGGTCATGAAGTCCATTAAAAAGTGTGTGTCAGTGATCCCGCAGTATTAAGCCCCGAATCATTACTGTACAAGACGCCTTCCTTTCATCCTGTGTCTGTTAGTCGTTATTCGTAACATGCGATCGATTTGCAGTCCAACAATAGCCTGCTAATCATGCTTACAATCAGTTATTTCTCTATGAGCTCTTTGTGAAACCAGAGAACATAAATATAAACACTTAAGAAGCATCATAGTGCTGCTGCGTGAACTTAAGTCAGATGTTGATTTCTCCACGTGGGTCCTGATGATGCAGGATGACAAACACCAAAACTGTCCAATCATTGAGTTACCTGTCTGTCAGTAGAACTTCGTGTTTACTCCGCTTGGTTCGTTTGCAAAAAGTCTGTGTGAACAGGAACTGAACCAAAACTAAAATGCAGCAATGTTTTCCCTGCAGTGCGACCAAATGAATCGATCAACAGGTGTGAAAATGACCTTAATCTCCAGTTGGGTATCATGAAACGATTGCATGAGGAAAGGGTATAACGAGATGACAGTAACCAAGCAACAGTCAAACCTCAAACTGTGGAAAACAATGTGGAACATGATGGAAATATGGCATTTGTGTTTGTTTCATGTATTCAAGACAAAACACTGAACACTGAAAACTGAGCTAATCACAGGACTACTGTCAGATCAGGAAACACTCCTATGTGTCATTCTAGAGGGCATAATCCAACTTTTTATTTTGCTGTCGTCCAGTTTGGATGAGAGGGGAGCAGATTCTGACTTCTGGCTGACTGCACTGGCTAAAGTAATGTTGGAGTTACAGTATACCTAATTACTTCAGTGAATAAAAAACTGAGCTACAGAGCCAAGCTCTTTGGTCCTTATCCTCTGCGCTGTTCACAAGCTTTCAGTGGAGACTGAAGTCATTATATCACAGATATGAGTTGCCAAGCAGAGATTCCTTCACCCAGCAGGATGAATGGATTACAGATAAATCCACTCTTACTAATCACTGTAATGTCGTAAATTATCCCTTGCTGATTTCACCTTCTACCACCAGTCAACACTGGTTTCTTTTAACAGGTGCTGTGGTGTTTTCCTGACCCTAACTACAGCAGTGTCATCTCAGAATGCTCAAATGTGCCATTTTGAAAGGCAGTTACCTGTTGTTGTTGTAGATTGGAGGATTTATTGCTTTTTCCCTCTGTCAGTGGAAGAAAATGTTGGCATCATATGTTTCTGCAAACCACAGATGCCTTTCATTTGTACATTTCGTACTTTGTCATTGTCCCCTAGGTGAGAGGCCTGCAAAGCTGCAGACGACTGCAGACCACTGTTTGAGACCAATAAACAACAAAACTGGTTGTTTTTCAGCAAGCCATCTCTGTGGCTTTTAGCAGCTTTTTAAAAGACAAACATGGGTGTTATTTAGCGACCTGTCACTGCATTTCCAGTGGGGGTAGTAACACAAAAACTGGTGTTTTTTACTGAGATGTCACTGCAGTTTTTACAAAGAAATTGCTGCGTGTTCAGTCAGGGTTGGGCCACTACTACTAGTTGTCATCACTGCATTTCCAGCTGCTTTTTGGCCACGAGCTTGGATGGGTTTTGGGCAACCCATCACTGTTTCTAGTAAAAATAGTGCCACAAAAACTTGTTGTTCTTTAGCGAGTCATTGCTCTGTTTCTAGAGGCTATTTAATCAATAGTCAAGGGTGTTTTTTCAGTAACCCATTGCTGTGTTTCCAGCAGGGATAGTGTCAAAAAAGTGTTTGTTTTTTACAGAGGCATCACTGCATTTCCTGCTGAGATGACGCCACAAAAACAACTGGTTTTACCAAAACATTGCATTGCATTGCTTTCAGCTGGAACTGTGCCACCAGCTGCTTTTTAGCCACGAAACATGGGTGTTTTTAGCAACCCATCACTGTGTTATCTCCAGAGATAGTGCCACGAAAAGCAGCTACTTTTTACTGAGACATTGCTGTTTCTCCAGCAAGGATTGTGCCATCAAAAACGGGTAAAATCATGATCTTTCCCTAACCATATTAAAGTGTTTTTTGTGCCTAAACCTAACTAAACATTAACAACAGCATTGTTGAAACGTAAAGAAATGTTAAGGTCTAAAATATCTGCTCCATGAAAACATACAAATTTTTCCGTGGTTTGCAGAAACATACAATGCCAACATTCATTCTGGTGATTGGGTTGTTTTTCTCTGGCTCTCTTTTGCTTTTTCTCTTTACTTTAATTAATCTCCACTCCGGTGGCAGAAGGATATTGAGTAAAATTGTGTTTCCATGCAAGTTATCGTCTTGTGACATCCGCCCCTAATGATTATTACTCTGTTTTGTCCCTTTGTCTATAAATACACTGAGTGGATGAGTCATAATTCACTGCTTTCATTGTATACCGCATCTCTATCTCTCTCTCCCTTGCGACACAGACACGCTCAACAGATCGAAGTAATGCTGGGAACAAAAACTTTAATTAAACAAATGCGAGTGTTAGCAACAATAATATAATAAAGATTTAATAATTAGTTGCTCTTTAGATTTGTGTTTGTCTTTAAAGTACAGACACCACAGAGAATAACAGTGCTGGGGCTGAGCAGTTATCTGACAGATGAAGGCAGCCATTTGGAGAATCTGATGGAGGTGACCATAAGGGACATATTTAATTTTACACATCATTTATCAACAAAAGAAAAATTGACAAGCTTTTCTCCAGAATTCTTATCATGTAAGGGTGGAATAGAAATGCTGCAGAAGAATAAGGAGGAAAAGAAAGGGACTAAGACATAGTAATGCATGATTGGAGGATTGTGAATCAACATACAAACAACTCAGCTCCTTTGTTGTATTGTTCACAGAGACGGAGCAGGTTGATGTATTTCTGGTCCGTTTTAATCTTAGCACACAGTTCAGCAGCATTCATCAGTGTGTGTGTGGCAGCAGCAGTTCAATAAAAGGGCTGGCTTGTGTTCTTCTTAATGTTCGTGTCTTTAGATGTGTACAGTCTTTATTTCTTCCTTCACTCTGTCAGTCTGACTCTTTCCATCTTTCTCTACTTTGTTCTGTCACCTCCCCACACACCCTTGCACAGCCCATGTTCATTAGTATAAATAACTGCTCGGCCTCCACTCAGCTACTGTACACACTGTTGTTATGCAGTTGGTCCCCAAACAGCCAGTTACAGCATCAGCAGCTCAGTGTTGAAGGCTGCTACCTGCCTGGTACTAATTAGGCACACGATGCTGTTACATGATCTTGGTGTTAATGAGAAACAGTTACAGAATATAAACCGGGTTCAGCCCACTGGTTCAACTTCATCAGTAATCAAGTGATATAATTGTGTATCTTAGCATGATGAAACGTTTGACTACATTAGGATAGGAGGAGGACATTTCTTCTATAGAATAAGATGTTAGACAGTTTTATTGCCAGGTTTGTACATCCAAGAGACATAAAAGAGGAAAAATCATTAGTATGAAAAAAATATATTCTGACAAACGCACAGTGTGTGCCTAACTGTCTACACTTAAAAGATTTACACCCAGGTTGGCTTCAAAGAGCCAACTTTAAGAAAGGTGTTTTACTAAGATTGAAGAATGACACATTTATCAAGTAGCGACTCACTCCTACTTACAGCAAACTGCAGAAGTAACCTTTAAGAACAGCTCATGATTAATCCCATTTTTGCTCAGAGGGAGAACCAAATACAAGGATACCAGCTACACTCACCCCACCGTTAATCACAATATCCCATTCTTTTCCAAATTTTCAGTGATTCCACAAAAGCCTTTATTATTTCTAGGGCTGCGGCCAATAGTTGTCATTTATGGCCGTCAGTCAACCAGTCACCTGCATGTTCATGATATGAATGTAATTATTAAATGATATATTTTGGTGCACGTCACACACTGAGCGAGCCGCCTGTTAATGACGCTGTGGGCTAATGGGCATGTAGCTACTTCCATGTTTCAGATGATATGTCATGTTTGTAGTCGACCAATGAAGATGAGTTTACATATCACCTTGGGTTTGTCCTTCACCTTCTCAAAATGATCCCACACTTTGGATTTCCTGCCCAACATTTTATTAACTAGCCTGTGGAATAACCGCAGGTACCAGCCCTGGAAATTAACCTGACTCCTGTCTGACTGCTGAGTGTGGTCACTTCCTGTGTCTGTCCTTTCAAATTAAATTCACACATGGTCCAGGCATGTAGGTTTGGATTTATTTTGACGCAGCTCCTAATGGGAGTTTCACTTTAATTTTTTTTTCTGCGACAAAGCGACCAATGAAATCTTGCTGACTAATGACCTTCCTGGTCTATGAATGTTTGTCATAGGTGTGTTTTGGGTGTAACATGATTTCAGCCAATCAGAGTGTCATCTCACATTCCCTTGCTGCCAACTGATTTGTAGACATACACAAAATTACGAGGGGTGTAGATTACAAGTTCAGTTTAAATATATTGATTTTTTTGGACAGCAATTTGCTGATACTACAAAGTTTGCCACCAGGTTTTCATCAGTAATTTATATGTATTCATAGGACGTTTAACTGGATCGGCTGGGGCTGAACACCTCGCTGTGCAACTGGCTGCTGGACTTCCTGACCGGGAGACCACAGGCGGTACGTGTGGGCAGCAACGCATCCGGCACCATCATACTGAACACGGGGGCCCCCCAAGGATGTGTGCTGAGCCCCCTCCTCTTCACTCTGCTGACCCACGACTGCACACCGTTGCACAGCTCAAACCTCGTCATCAAGTTTGCGGATGACACGACCGTGGTGGGTCTCAGCAGCAACAATGATGAGACAAATTACAGGAGTGAGGTGAACCGTTTGTCCTTGTGGTGTGGACGTAACAATCTCTCTCTGAATGTTGAGAAGACGAAGGAGATTGTTGTGGACTTCAGGAGAGTGCACACCCAGCAAGCATGTCCCTCTGACCATCAACGGGGCTGCTGTGGAGAGGGTGAGCAGCACCAAGTTCCTGGGTGTGCACGTCACAGAGGACCTCTCCTGGACCAACAACATCACATCACTGGCCAAGAAAGCCCACCAACGCCTCTACTTTCTCCGCAAGCTGAGAAGAGCCAGAGCCCCGGCCCCCATCTTGCAGACCTTCTATAGAGGCACCGTTGAGAGCATCCTGACCAGCTCCATCACGGTGTGGTACGGCGTCTGCCCCATGTCCTGCCGTAAGACCCTCCAGCGCACCGTGAGAGTAGCTGAGAAGATCGTCAGTGTCCTTCTCCCTTCCCTTCAGGACACATACTCTACCCGTCTCACCCGCAAAGCCCTCTGCATCGCTGGTGACCCCACCCACCCGTCACACAGCCTCTTCAGCCTGCTGCCATCAGGGAGGAGACTGCGGAGTCTCCGGGCCAGGACCAGCAGACTGAAAGACAGCTTTTTTCACCAGGCTGTCAGGATGCTTAACTCTCTCCCTGCTCTGCCCCCCCCTCCCCTCTCTGCCCCCTGCCCACTCAGTCGCTGGACGACGAACCCCCTCCCCCCATCAACACTTAAATCTGAACTATACATGCACACATACACTTTATCCAGTCCATAAGCTTCAATTTGCACCACTGTTACTCATATTGCACTGTCATTGCACCACATTGTTTGTGTTAATACCACTGTGCCTTTTTACTTTTTAGAGTATAACTCTTTTTAGCTCAGGTTTTATTTATGCCCCTACTTATATTTTATATTTGCACGTTATGTCAAGTGCACTGTCTGCACCGAGGGTCTGAAGAGAAAAAGTAATTTCGATCCTCAGTATGTCCTGAACATATTGTAGAATTGACAATAAAGCTGACTTTGAAATTAACATATTGTTACCCTATTCACATAACTAATGGATATTGCTGAATGTAGGAGGCACAAAATATTTAATATTTAATACATATCCTTGTCTGACAATCATATTTGATTTCCATGATATTCACACGGTTTGGTCTAACATTGACGTACAATTAGTGCGTTCTCAGCACCAAATAGTGGACACAGGAAGTGTTACAAAATGTGAAATAGGTCTGTGCAGCACCCACACTTGACAGTTTTGTGAAGCAGTTATTTTGCTCAGTCCCCAGGGTGGAGACCAGTGCTGTATACTGTTACTTTGTGGTATATTTATATTGTATCTTATACTAAATAGTCTAACTTTGGAAGATACCCACACTGTGTGTAACTGTTTCCAGAAGTGAACAGTAGTGATGACACAAACACAGATGAATAAATCACTTGTACAGTTGAGATAAAGAGAAACATTTTTATTGGAAAACAGACGAGACATCAAGGAGGTTAGCCAGATGTTTGTGTGTGTGTGTGTTTAGAAGCCAATAGAGAGCAGGATCACAGTGACGTTGTCGGCACAGCCCCGCCTCACCGCCTCACTGGCCAACTGTTGGCAAGCAGCTTCAAACCTCACCTCCTTGTCCGTCAGCCCCGGCTTCGGCTCCACACTCCCTTCCTGCAAGGGGGAGAGGGGGGAGAATCCTTAGCACAACACAGACTAATAATAATGGCATGAAGATATGAACAATAACGTCCAGTTTATTACAACTCTGCTCTTATTTTGGTAGTTTTCACTCTCGCTTTTGTTAATATTCTTTGTGTTAACTTCCATTTGGGGGATAATCATGCTTTCTGTTTTGAAACTACAGTTCCCACGATGCTTTGGGGGATGTAGAATTAGCCAGTAGGTGCTTCTGCTTGCAGTGCACCCATGGATGTACAGAGAACAATCACTGGATTACTTTAATACTGAAGAAAACTTAAAAACGTGATGATTCTCGTACAAGCTGTGCAATCGTAAAGGAACGTCTTTTGGTCAATGGATTTTTTTTTTTTTTTTTTAAAGATATTTTTTGGGCCATTTTGCCTTTAGTGGACAGGACAGGTAAGTGTGAAGGGGGGAGAGAGAGAGAGGGGATGACATGCAGCAAAGGGCCACAGGCTGGATTCGAACCTGGACCGCTGCGGCAACAGCCTTGTACACGGGGCGCCTGCTCTACCACTAAGCCACCGACGCCCCTGGTCAATGAATTCTAAGCAGATTTTTTAAAACAAGGTTTTCAAAATCTCCCCTTTCCTCCCTCAGATAATAATTTGCGGATCTACACTTCCTACAATGCTTTGTGCACCATTAAATGTATGCCAAATTAGCTGTTATCAGTTCCTGTATGCAGGGCACCCATGGATGTACAGGTAACTATCACTGAATTACTTAAATACTGAAGAAAACTTAAAAACATGATGATTCTCAGGCAGGTTCTACAGGTAAAAGAGCTGATTAATATGTGATGGACATCTGAAATACTGATAATATCACGAAGTGTAAGTCATGCAGGCCTTTCCAAGGGAAAGATTTTTGACTCATGTTGACAATTACCATCGGCTGTAGCCTCAAAATGCTTGGAAGAGATAAATTAAATAAAAACTAATCTCAAAATTTGGACTAAAATTTCACTTTTAGTAGTTTTTGTCAACAAAATCTAAACAACTAAAATTTTACTTAAATAAAAAATTTCTTCTAAACATTAAAGCTAAATGAGAACAAGTGAGCACAGCACAACTGTGCGCACACATGACCACATGTACATCAGAGCTGTAATCAAATCAAGACCATCCTTAGAAACAGAAGACGAAAACCTGCAGGACGTTGAGGACGAATTTAACAGCTTCATCAGCAGAAAACACTTTGAACAACCCGTCACAGGCGAGGATGATAAACCTATTGACAGAGAGAGAGAGAGAGCCATCAGCACCTGCAATCCCACAGTTTCTGCAAGAACTAGTTTCAAACGTAATCACCCACACACTTTGATTAAACAAACAAGATTGAATGTTATTTTGGGAGCTTTCGAGGTAGGTGGAGGTTTATTAAATTATGACAGAGCCAGGCTAGCCATTTCACTTCATTACCAGTCTTTGTAGTAAGCTAAGCTAACCAGCTGTAGCTTTATATATAAAAGGTACAGACATGAGAGTGGTGTTTCTTAAGTTAATGAAAGAATAAATAAATGCTAAAAGAAAGACATATATACATAAAAATAAATGCAGAGGTTAGGCCCTCCTACCTCAACAACATACAGACACAAATACAAAAATAAACGTAGTTTTAAAAATGAAATAAAACTAAGATATTGCTGTCCTGTTTAACTATCATTTTTATTCATTTATTTATGCACTTAACTATTTATTTCATCATTTATCCATTTTATTTATTTAATTTTTGTATTTGTTTATACATTGATATATTTATTTCCATACTTATTTGTTCCTGTATTTATTTACTTACTCCTGCATTTAATTAATTTATAATAATTAATTTAACATTTATTTGTTCACATATTTATCAGTTTATTCCTGTATCTATTTTTACATGTATTTCTTTATTTCCACATTTACTCTTGTATTCATTAATACATTTGTTTACTTATTCCTGTATTTATTTACATAATTATTTACATACTAATTCATAAGTCATTTTTTTATCCTCTACAGTGGAAGTTCTGTTCTTGCCTGTCATTGGCTGTGAGCTGACACCTCCTCACGTCGGGGGTTGAAATGACTCCACAGCGTTTGTACTGACCATCTCCGATAGACCGAGACACTTCGAGGACACCCAGCACCCTGCCATCTCTGTAACACTCACAAAAATTAATCAGCAACTGTTTTCATAATCCATCAATCCCTTATGACAGTTTAGCAAGTAAAACATGCCAAAACATCTCCAGCTGCTCAAATGAGAATATTTTTTGTGTTTCCACAGTGAACTGAACATTTTTGTGTTTAGGACTGTTAGCTGGACAAACCAAGACATTTGAAGAAGACGCCACTCTGGACTTTGTTGTGCCTGTAAAGAGCTTGTCAGGTATGAAAAGTATCAGGATCTGGTTAGTTTTCCTGACTGTGCTTTGCCAAATGTTTTAGTGTTGTCCTTTACATGCAAACTAACCTGCAGCATGTCCTAAAACACAATTCAATAAGTTTTTTTCAGAGCTAGAGGTGGAAAAAAATATTTGTTGTTCTTCTTGACTATCAGTTTTTTCCATGCTCCTTTTTCTACTTTTTAGCATTAATTCCGTTGGAGATTTACTCACAGCTGCTTTAAAACAAACCAAACAAGTGCATTGGCCTTACACAAAATTAGGCCCTAAATTGATGACAGTTTAAACTGAAAATCACCAAACTTGGTAGATATTTGGAACTTAAGTTCTAACTTAAGAGCCAGGGGACATCCTTCAGACCAGATCCCTTGTTTATGAATGTAGGTGGTGTACCTAACGGTGCCTCCTGCCCTCTGGATCCTCATCCTCTCCTCATAGATGGTTGGGTTGTGTTCTTTACTGAGAGCGAGAGTCACCGACCTCCTCTGTCCGTCTGCTCCTGATGTCGCCTCCATCCGACACAACACGGCCTGCGGACACAAACGCAGACAGACATGAACTACGATGTCCTGCAGTGGTTTATCTGATGGTGCATTGAGGCAAACATCAGATAACCTATATTTAAAAAGGTGTCTGACTGATGATGATTAAACCTCAGTTTACCCTGCTGTCTCCCAGATTGGCCACATATATCATGTCATCCACCACCAGCACACAGGTGGCTGTGGTGCCGTCCTTCCATGCTGGCTTCCTGTTGCACAACACAGAGAGAAAACATGAGACAAAAGTACATTCACCAATATTTGTTGACATTGTCTCTATTAAAAGTATGCCATCATCAGCTCCTGTTTGCAGTGTACTCATGGATGTACAGTCAATTATCACTCTGATACTGAAGAAAACTTAAAAATGTGATGATTCTCAGGCAAGTTCTTTATTCTGGATGTAAATGTTTCATCTCTTTCAACACTTACTGGCTAGAAGCTTTCTTCAGAAAGTCTTCATCTGTCTGGCGGAAAGTGTCCAGGAGACATTTCTTTATGAGCTTGTCCACGTTCTCCGTTTCTCCTGGAAGAGACGACACGTTTCAACCATTAAGGAGACGGCGGTGTTCGTTATACCACAGCTCATCCTTCCTGAAAACACTCTGTGAAATAACAGGAGCGCAGTGCCTGCTCACTATTTACAATCAAATTTAAAACTTTTCGAGTCATCAATCATTTCAAGACATCAAGTCATTAATTTGGACAAATACATAACTTTTAAAAGGCAATTGAGTACTAGTCTGACATCTGTAAACTTAACATGAAGACCAGCTGTGTGATAATTTAAGAGTGGACTGCCCCTTTAAAACTCACCACTGGGGAACTTCTTGGCCAGATTGTGGTGGAGATGCTCTGCAGCAAACCGAGAGGCTCGAGCTCCACCGTGACCGTCAAACACAGCAAAGTACGAAACATTAGATCTGCAGGACACAAAGGACACATCAGAGACACTTCCTCCACTGATGACTTTCTTTTGGACAGATGTCTAGTCAGAGAACTTACACTTGTCCTGGCAAAGTGGACAGATAGCTGCTCATGTCTGGCAGCACCACGTGGGCATCCTGCATCTCCTCCCGCTCGCCTCGCCTTGCGGCTACATAGCCTTTCAGCACGGGGAGGCCTGGATGATGACACACATGTCAGTCTTTAAATGCATCATCTCTAGACATCATATTTCCATATACTCTTTAATTGGAGGAGAAAAAGCAAACAAACGTTGTGGTGGAAGAGATGAAAACCTTCTTTACAAAATTTTTTGACCTCCTCCTCCCCCTTTTTATCACACTCTGCATCTTCTCTTTTTCGTTTCAATCTTTTCTCCACCTCTTCTTCTTCTTCTTCTTTGGTGGATTGTGGTTGAGCTGTGACCACTGCAGAGACTGGACCTGTGTGGAGAGAATCCAGAATTTAAAAAGTAAAAAATGGTAGTTTAAATGTAAAAGCCCTTTAGGCGTACAGATGTAACAATTAAGAGTTTTAAACAGGGACAGACGATATCAGATTTTTTGCCGATGTCCAACATGCTGATATATAACAACTTTTTTTTTTAATATAAAGATATTTTTTGGGGCATTTTTAAGCCTTTAACTGATAGACAGACAAGCATGAAGGGGGGAGGGGGAGAGAGAGGGAGTGACATGCAGCAAAGGGCCACAGGCTGGAGTCAAACCCGGGGCGCTGCGGCAACAGCCTTGTACATGGGGCGCCTGCTCTACCACTAAGCCACTGACGCCCCATATAACAACTTTCTGGCTGATAACCGATACTAATATTAATATATCCACTATCTTTCCCACCTAATTTTAAAGATCAAGTCTCTTCTATGGTGGAATCATCATATTATGCATGCATACTTTTATCACGATGGCCCACCAGCAGATGGAGACATGAAACAATGATTTTCGGTGTATGTTATATTCATTCATTGTGTAAAATAAGAAAAAGCATGTTGGCTGATTCTGATGATGCAACAATATTCTTGTGCATCCCTAGTTTTAAATCTTAAGTAGAATCATACAAATACTACTTCCCTGTACTGCAGATTTGATATTACACACACTGTCAGATATGTGATATTTTCAATCAAAATCTGAACAGTATATCTGTTACATAAATGTAATGGGGTAAAAAGTACAATATTTACCAATGAGCTCTAGAGGAGTAGAAGTATAACGTTACAACAGCATTTACTGGAAATACTCTAACACTGTGAGGTACAGTACTTAAGTAAATGTACTCAGTTACAAACCACACAGTTTATTGATTACTTAACATTTCCCTGCATTTTTCCACCAGTTTAGAAGTGAATATACTCCCGTGTATTACAAGAACATTAGACACTTTACTCATGCAGGTAACGGACATAAATATCAACTGATAATGAAGGGTAAAACCCTTACTGGTCTTACTGGTATTTCTGATAACGCCAATGATTGTTCTGCATCACCAGTGCTAACGTCTCCCCGTTCAGTGCATTTTGTTTTAATCAATATTTCACCGTCAATTCGTCTGAACTCACCGGAGGTCTGTGTCGGTTCTGGCAGGTCGTCGAAAAGATCCATTCTGCTCAGTTAGCTCAGCAGCTAGCTAACTAGCCTAGCTTTCGGGAGGAGCTAACTGGTTAGCTACCTGTCTGTGCCTGTGCATGTACGGCTCGGTGTCTGTAAGTGTGTGAGCTGACGGTAAAACAAATGTGTGAAAGGTGTCATTAAACGGGTCAAAATATTCAGACTGCCGTTCAACGGGTTCGTTGGTTTTAAAAGCAGAAACGTGGACCGTTAGCTCCGGCGTGGAAATATTATTGCGGTTTATTTCTAGCTGCGGCTAGCTTCTTCTTCATTGAGTTTAATGGCGGTTGGCAAACCAGCTTTCAGGTGCATTACCGCCACCTACTGGAATGATGTGTGGCGCAGTAGATTGGCAGGAAATAAAACAAAACTAAATTCTCTAGTATTCCTGTTACTCTTAAATAATTAAATACACAATAAATAGATAATCATAAATACCTACTAACAGAAGTACTAGTTTTAACATTGTAGCACAATGCAAATTTTTTATTTCTATTTTATTAAATATATTACCTTATATTTACACACTTCTATTTCACTCTCATTCTTACTCTTTATAATTCTCTACTCTTTACATATGAGCAACTGTAACAAATCACAGTTTTCTCTTGGGGATCAATTAAGTATTTCTGATTCTGATTCTGAATCTGAAGCTTAGATGTATTCCTCGATGTCTCTCCTAGTAGATTCCCGAAAGTAATACTCTGCTTTTCCTCTGTTATTCCTGTTATTAACTCTCTTCTTTTTTCATCATACCTGTTGCAATATATTAGTACATGTCTGACTGTTTCCAGTTTGTCACAGTGTGTATACAGTCCAGTAGGATGTTTCCCCATACTATGGACAGTTTCATTTAATCCTGGATCCTCAGACGCGTAATGATCACCTCCTCCCTTGGGCTCCCACTATGTTATCTACCAACACTTGCCTGTTTTTGAATACTGTAAAAATGTCTTCCTGTGTCTCTGCATTCCCAAAATGTTTTGGTTTTTGCATACAGTCCTTTATGATAGTTTTAACCTCTGCCTTGCTTAATGGTACTTGCATGTCAATTAACTGCCGTTTTAGTGATTGTTTAGCCAATATGTCTACTTTCTCATTTCCTTCAACGTCTACATGGACAGCAAACCAAAGGAAGGTGATATACAATCCCCTGCAGTGTAATCTGAGCAGCACATGAGAAGTGTCATGCATAATATCCTGTCTGCATGATGACTTTCCAGACTAAATGCTTGAAAGTGCTGACAAGCTACCAGAGACGATTAAGACACTGGGTTTGTTATTTTCTTCCACCCATTGTAATGCTAATAATATTCCACTTCATCCAGCTGTGAACACTGGCAGGTGGTTCCTAACAATGAGGCATGAAGAATCCAGCAGTCTCTGTACATATGAATGTCTTGTGTTGGTGATGGTCAGTATATCTTTGCACTGTTGTCCACTGTGGTACTTTTTATAGGTTTCTCTTTCCTTTCCTTTTTATTTTTTTTTAAACAATAAATAATAACATGCTCTTCTCTTTCCTGCATGTTATATCACAGATCAGATCCCTCTCTGAATGTACAGTTACATATTGTAACCTGCTGGGAAAAATTAGCAACAGGTGCATGTCAACCAGTATCTCTCTCAATAACCAGGGTGGAGCAACAGACAATGGTACAGTGGTTTAGCATTATGTCTCCTATCCCAGTTCCATTAACTGTGTTACCTTCCCCAGTAACTAGACCTTCATCAGGCAAACAGTTTTGTAATGAAGAGAAACCCTCATAAGAAGTGGCTGAGAGTTTGCAATCAGTCACATTACCCATGTTCAGTAGAAAGGCATAAATACCAAACACCAGTTTGTGTGATAACCTACAATATTATACACAGAGATAGAGAATAAAGAAGTAAAAATTAAAAACTGCACTGACACAATCATACACACACCCCTATAAGTAAATAATTAAGAATAAATGGTTAAATCCTTATTGTTAAATTGCATTCTCAAAAAATACGCATTGCAAAATTACGAAAATATTCATGACCATAGCTGTATAAGGTGCAGCAATCCCAAAATGGGATGAGGTGATGACCACATTAAATGCATCAATATTTATAATCCAGTTATATAATAAAAACTGATCTGAAATGGGCCATTCTGCATAGGGCGTACTTTTCATTTTGGTACTTTAAATGTATTTTGATGCTAGTATGTTTGTACTTCTACTCAAGTAAGAATTTAAATGCAGGGCTTTAACATGTAACAGAGTATTTCCTCACTTCTGTACTTTTACCTGGGTTACATTTTGAATTTAGGCCTTTTACATGTCATGGAATACTTCTGTTTATTTCCTCCGCCATTTAGTGAAAATAATAATAATAAGGTTAAAAATAGAGTTTGGACTAAATTCACCACTCAGACAACAAGATGTTAAATTATCATCAGTGTGACTATGAACGCTGTTAAAATAAAATCTTCACTTCCCTCCTTGTTTCCTTTCCTTCCTCCTGGGCTCTTATTGGCTACTCAGAGGCTCCTCTGGTGTCAGCCAATAGGGGCAGGGAAGCAGCTGTTCTCTGCTCCTATTGGTTGACAGGACAATAAAGCCAGAGGCCGGACAAGTGTGTGTGAGTGGCGTCAAACTTTCAATCAGTCACAGATCCGACTGCAAATACACGCGATGCATCAGTCAGTGTTGTGATTGATTATCAGTAAGATATTGATCATCATCAGCTCTGTAAACATGCGGGTTTCTCTCTGGTGCGTTTGGATTTTAACTCTTCACACCGCAGCTCAGCATCCTGAGCGGCAGGAGGGAGGCGTGCAGTCCGGAGGGAGGAGGAGGCAGAGCACCGGTACACCGACCCTGCTGCAGCCGGCGGCGGTGAGGGGATCTGGGGAGAAGCTCGGCGGCAGGAGGGCACCCTTGAACGGGTGAGCAGCACATACATCTAACACCCTGAACCCTGGTTGCAATCAGTGTTTGTATGTGTGCCATAATATTCACACAGACCTTTTGTTAAATGGTCCAAAACCTGCTGAACACACTCATGTCAAGTTTGGAGAAGAAGGACCTCACTGAGTTTTGTTTTTATGGTTAAAGACGTAAAAACAAACAAAACCATCAATCAGGTCTTCTATTTATGATTTAGTGTCTGCAGCACTTCTTACAGACTGCATGCAATATACATAATAATATTTAAGATAAGATAAAAGTTTTATATTTTTCCTGTGCAGCAATATGTCAAGAAGTTCTTATGTAACTGCTAAATTACTGTAAAAAATACAACTTTTTTCCCAGTTAACCATTAAATCATTTACTGTATACAATCAGGTGATGGTCAATGCACCTGAAAACATAGATGGATAGATAAGTAGACAGACAGATATCATAACACGTAAACATTAGAGGTATAAATCACTGGTTTAATCACGATACTTTGGACAACGATACGATATTTGCTGATATAACAAAGTCTGTCACGATACGATTTCTGTTCAGTTTGATTCAGGGGTCTGTGATGGATATGAGATGATATTATCTACCCATGTAACACAGTCTGTTACAAAAGAAGCTGCCACCCCTTTCTTTTTTATTTTTGGCCATAACAAATAAAAACAACAGCTTCAGCATGTTCACATCACATGAATTAGCCTAGCAGCTAGCGGACTTTTTCCTCTACTCGTGCCTTAATGAATTATACATATTGTTATTATTTTTCTTACTTACCTTTGGTTTAAGTCACTGCATCTCTCAACAGAACATCTTGTTGAATTTCAGCATGCATGCACATTTTTTCTGCCAAACATTGTTAAAACAGAGTAGCTAATGTTTCTGTACTGAGAACATAGTGGAGCGAGATACTCGACCAGGCAGGTATGTCATGTTTTATGTCTTAGGGGGCGTCGGTGGCTTAGTGGTAGAGCAGGCTCCCCATGTACAAGGCTGTTGCCGCAGTGGCCTTTGCTGCATGTTACTCCCTCTCTCTCTCCCCCCTTCACGCTTGTCTGTCCTATCAATTAAAGGCTAAAAAAATGCCCCCAAAAATATCTTAAAAAAAAAAAAGTTTTATGTCTTAGGGGGCCATTGTGTTTTCACAATTTACCTCACCTACTCTCAACAACAAAACATGAATGAAGTTGACGTGATAGCAAAGCCAGCCTCTTGCTTGATTCCATGGATTTGATTGGCTGCCTGGGCCAAGTACGACAATGACGAAATGGTACTACTGGTGCCTGACGCCCAAAAGTTGAGATTATTTCAATTCTCAGCGTCTACAAACACACGTCTAAAAAGACACCAGAAAGACGCTCGTCATAAAAAATGCTTGAAAACCAGTCAGATGCGCCATATCATAGGGAATCATTTGTTTTACTGGCGTCTCGTTTCTAGCGCTCCTTGTAGGTGTGATCGCCCCCTTTCTGACACTGTTTACACAGTGCTTTGTCTGTTGACGTATTTATTCCCGAGTAAATAACGCTATCCTCATCGTTTGTTTCTTGGTTGTTTGCCATCTGCCTGCTGCTGTTTGATGCAGAATTTCAAAATAAAGGCATAATCTAAAGATGACGATATGAATCGATGTTTTCACTTTGCATCGACGATACTGGATTGTTGATCATTGAACTGATAAACTGATCCAGATCGATGGACTGTTACGACCGTCGTTAACATCTGCTGTATGTCTGCAGTTGTTCAGTGGTGCCAATGCAGGTTGTCACTGGTGAAAACTGATCCCAGTCTAAATCCACTTCATGTAACCAGATTTATGTTAGCAGCTGTGAGGCTGCTTTATAGGTATGGTCACATGACACTTTGTTTCTTATGAATGCTCGCTCTTTTTCGGACAAATTCAAGTGTGTTTTCTGTGGTCCGATGCAGAAGTTAGCATTGCACTGGTTCCCTTGTCAAAAAGCTGATGGGGTTTTCCAATGGATTTTGGATTATTGCAGAAAATAAGCTCTGTGGCAAATCAATGTTTATGATACTTACATGTTTTGTTAAGCAAGATAATCTTCACTCATGAACACCACATTTATGATTTTTGAAGTCTACATGCAATCGCCAGAAATAAAAACGACGATCTTTATATTAAAATGTATCTGCGTTCGTGTGCAGATATTTGTTGTTTTTTTAAAAAAAAAAAAATTAGCCGAAATGAGCGGCGTACGGAAGAGGGGTCTCATTCATAAAACAATGTGCAGGATCTATACTAAAAATGTATGTATGAATAAAAGCCAAAAATGATGTGCGCCATATTTCTACAATCAGGCTTCCACCACACCAT